CCCCCCCCCATTATCTTTGTTTTGGTTTGGTTTTGAGCCTTTTCTTTAAAAGATTTTTTTAAAAAAGAACAACACAAAACCAAAACAAAGAAAATAATAGATTTTTTCATTTCAAAACTTTTGATTCAAGATTATCAAACATAAAGTAGAAAAATCTTACCTTGAAAGTTCTTCTAGTTTAGATTTAGCAAATTCAAGGCTTTTTCGCTCAACGTGTTCATGTGGTGTGTGAGCCAGAAGTTCATGAAGTGTTATAATATATCTAGGAATCTTAACACAAATTAGGTATAAAATCAGTAAATCCTTAAAGGAATAATTCCAATACAGCTTTTTGTTAAATATTAGCCATTACCTTGGTCAGAAAAGTTTTCCAAACACAGTCTTTTTAAAATGAATATCCATAGCTAAATGATTATACATACATTCTAAATATAACTACTGCCAAAAATACTGAACTTTTGGGTCATAGAGACTTCATATGCATATACATTTTTTCAGTTTGAGGAAGCACAAAATCCATTTATTACATTTTAAGGAAAAGATCAGATCAGAGGCAACCACAAATATGACATTAAATTTCATTGTTTCATGCTGCTATTCAAGTGCCACTAGAGAAAACCTTCAAACTCCCTGAGAGATCCATATGGACCTTCCCTCAGTTTTGATAGGATATGTGCATCTAAATTTCTTGTGACTTTGAAAATGCCAGCTGACCTGTTTGCATTTAGATAAAATTCATGTTGCATTCATGGACATTGAAGAATATGCAGTACTTGACTATTTAAAGGCCACAGGGTAGCACAAGGACCCTGATCCATTTATTCTTACTTAAAGCTGTTTCAGAGCTTTTAACCAGAACCAAGTGATACTGCAGTATGACTTCTCTTTACAGAATAAAAGTTATTTAGGAGAAGGAGACATGACTTCTTATTATGCTGAAGTGAAAAGCCATCAGCAATTACATCCTTCATCACATATGAATAGGATCCTCTCTCTCCCTTCTAAGGTCCCATGACCTTGTTTCAGCTCAACCAAAAAAATCCCAAAACTTTACAATACAAGCTCAAAGCTAAAAAATTGTATTGTTACAGGTGCTAATGGCCCTTTAGGCTAATATGAATAACTAGCACTAACACAAGTGTCACTGATGCCCCTTTGGTGGTTTTTTTTTTGACTCTACTTGGTTTGCCAGTAACTGAAGAAACCAAGGGGGTTCGCTATTCTCTTGATGAGTGAAATATTAGGTTAAATGTAAAAGACACAAAATCATCAGACCAGTGTTTCACAGACCTCTTAAAACAGCCGCAAATAATTAATCCAGGCAGATCAAGACAAAATATCAGAAGGATAAATAAAGTTTTCAAAACTTTTGCAATGTATTTTTTATTTTCTAAAGACCAAGCCACTGGAGAACTAAGTGGGAGAAAAGTTTCAAAATGTATTCCTAGCAAAATGCTTGTGGCTGCTCTGACTTGCTATACCAGGTATATTATCCCTTTCTGGACTGCTTCATAATCCTGCAGCACTCAGAAGTCGAGTAATTGTTTCTCAGCTTTTTTTCTTTTGGCGCTAGTCCTCATCTCACATTCCCCTTCAACATATATGAGATTCTAAATAGAGATGAATCAGTATAGTTGGATAAAAGATCTCTACAGGCAGAGTTTCAGTATAATAACGAAATAAATGAGAACTAAATTAATTTGCATGAGAGTATTTTTAGTTAAGCAAGAAAAATCTTCAATCATTCGTAATGTCAGTAACACAACATGAATCAACCAAACACTAAAAACAAATAGTCACAAAAAATATACAGAGACTACCTGAAACATAGGGTAAGTAAGGAAAGTTTCCAGCATTCGGCCCTCACATGCTGGGTTGGCTTCATATTGCTTCAAGAGTTTGTCAAAATCTCTGTTTTGCTTACAGTTTGCCAGTACTTGTAGACTATATTGATGATTCCGAACAAATTCTTGATATATGTTCAGCATTGGCAGCAGAATGTCAAATAAGTCAGCTAGAAAAAATCAAGAAATGCTTTTTTTTCCAGCTACCCATCTCTTGAAATATATTTTTAAAGAAACTACTATGTTCTATGAAAGTGAATTACTATAATCAGTTCTGTTTCCAATATACTGAGATTTTTAGAAACATTAAAATCGGCTCTGTTACCAGCCAAAACATGGTTGTTCTGATTAGCTAATAATCAGACAACATCACTGAAAATTCAGGGGCCCATGTCTAATCAATGCTTAGCACACAGGCATTCTCATATATGGACTAGAAGACAGTCATTACTGCCCACGTGGGACTCCCACTACACCAGATCTTGTGGTGTTAGTTCTGGAAATGCATTCCATTCAAAAAGGACTTCAAAAAAATCATGTCTTTGGAAAAAAAAAAAAAGACCTTACTGTAATTTCAAAAATAAATATGAAAATTGTACCCCTAGAGAAAACATAGTAACTTACCTAGGATTAAGGTAGGCCAATTAGCTATTCTTGCTTTTAAGCCTTGATGAAATATCTCATGAAGAAACATGATTGTTTCACTGAAAAACAAGTATTTAAACAAACAAAAAGACAATTCAGGCTTTATTTTCTGATTAATAATTCACAGAGAAACATCTCTTCCTGGTTAGTAGTATGTTTTCACTTTGCTGGAAAAAACAGAAGATAGTTATTGTTACAGAAGTAAGCGCTTCTTTTTATTGCATTGTTTAAAATTTTTAGTGTAGTATAAAAAATATATAGTATTTGGTGTAGAAAGCATATTCTAACTGTTTAGTTCTTTTAAATAAAAGCATCTATTAAATAACATGTTCCACACAATTTAATAAATAGGTTTTCCAAGAATATCCTTGACAATGCATTCAGTAGTTTAAGTGTACCAGTAAGATGAAGAAACCTCAAGCCAGTGGTAGTCATCTATATTCTTGCTTGCTGCTATTTAAGATTTAAAGCTTACAGCTTTTCTGTAACATGAACCTTAATATTGTATTTTAGCTTATGAGGTCAACAGAAGTAGAGGACATTGCAGTTCTAAAAAAAAGAGTACAGTGATCATGAATGAGCTATGAAAGGGAAACCTGTCTCATAACTAAAGGAATATGTTCTACTTCTTAGAAGTTAGGGGCAGACTTGGATGCAATCCCAATCCTGTATCAAATGTTAGCTGCCTGCTGGCTTATTTGTACATGCTTATTAATAGTACTTGGATGCTTAATGCAAAGAACAATTCTTTTTTGTAGGATATGAAAAGACAAGTGAGAGGGAAGGAGGCTCCCTAGGCAGGACAACAGAAAATAGATTTGACGTACTCATCCTCAGGGTCTTATCTGGATCATATGAAATCACTAAGTCCAATTCCCTCTTAAGAGAAAAAGAAACAGGAAAGGTGACAGAAAATTATGAGAACTGCCCCAAGAGGCTCGATTTGTCTTTTTCGTCCTCTAGCAGAAGAAATAGAATGTAAGGAGACAAAGAGGTCTAGCTGGTTTCAAACAGCATCACCAACAGCACCTTGCCTTCTACCCCTGGAAACATGGTCTACCTCAGTGACATTACTTACACCAGAGCAAAAAAACCCAAGTGCCAGACCTCACTACTGTAAACTAAAGCAGAATGGGAAGAAGCGGTCAGAGAAACCTCCAAAAAACAAACAAAAAACCCCCATACCTGTTGAGGAAAATGCTACTAACATCATCGTGACTGATAGGCGGCTTCTTTGAACTTGCAGCCATTCTTAAGGGCCGCAGAAAACAGTTCACAAGAATATAAAGTTGATGCACATATTCAGATTCAGCCTCCACCATGTTAAAAACGATCTGGTTCCTTTTTCTCATACTTTCTGCATGGGGAGAACAAATGTAATCTTGGACAATTGTTTTCCATTTTCGTCTACATAACCAGCCCCGCATAAAGCTCTGGACCTAAAAATGAACCAAGCAGAAAAGAAGAATGTGAAAAAACATTACACGACTTATCATAAGCTCTTCATTGTACAAACAACCCTCTAAATGAAATGCCTCTGTTTAAAAAAAAAAAAAACAAAAAAAAAACCCTCTGTTACCCTTATTGATTTATAATTGTTCCTGAATTATATTTATTTTAGATTTCTGTTTGTTAATGAAATTCCACAATCACTTGGTCACATGTGTTGCCAGGAAACAGACTGAAAAGATATCGCAGATATATCAAGGTACCTTTTACTGCAAGCTCGAACGTTGTAGTTTTGTATATGCTCTTCCTATCAATACAACTGTGCTACGCACTGTGCAGGTTTCTCAACTCCTTTTACCTCCCCTTACACATTTCTCTTATACCCCCAAAAGTCTTGTGCAATGCTTTCAGGTAACACATTTCAAGACTGACTCAGTATCATTACTGACATAATTCTAAAATAGTTGTTAAACTCAGTTTGCTTTCTGTTTTGAATAGATACTGCTTATCATGTGTATTTAAAGCTAATTATCAATATACTGCTTAGTATCAGACACCTCGGTGAGCAATACTATTATCCAGAAAAGGCAGATTTTTGGCATTCTTAAAAAGTATCTCTATGTCATGGAAAAATATACTTAAGTGTAATATCCATTGAAGTTACAAGTGGATTAAAGATTACAGAAAAGGTCTACATCTGGCCACAGAAAATTTCAGTATGTCTTTGCCCTGATGTTGATGTGAAGATCATTCATCTTGCAAGAGAAATGCAAAATCTCACCAGTAGCAGTTTACCCTCAATAAACAACTTTAAAAAAGGGGCCCAATTGTCAAAACAATCAAGATGTAGAATGCAGTGAATTATATACAGAATCAGAGCTCTCCTTCTACTAAAAGAGACATTTCCAGCTTCTATTACAATGCTAAATCTACATGAAAAGGAGAATTCACACGAGGGTGCCAGCTCAGTGCTGACCTTGACTCAGACTGCGTGACCCAGAAAAAATCAGAAACTAAGTCCACATACCATAAAGGATATTATGCAATTTAAGACACTGAACACTGTGAGAGTAAGGGTGACACATACAGTACCACACCTTCAAGCATGAATTCCATTCATGCTCATGTATTAGGATTTGTGGGAGTCAGCGATGGGCACAGTTCTGGAGGCTGGTTATAACCAGCCTTAAGCAATATTACCAAAAGCTGCACGTGTAAATGCCATACAGATTGGGACACTTATGTCCCTGTTGTTAAAAACACTGGCCATAGAGTTTCAACAAGGCCAAGTGCCGGGTCC